TATTAGCTAGATTGTTCTTAATTGGTATCACTTGATATATGTGATACTAGCTTGTTCTAAAATATCTGCTGCATAAGTGACTTTTATATGACTTGATAAAAACATGTACCTTTGTCACTTGATTGAGTTTAAATGTTGCAAATTGATTCAAACATAGTTTTATTAGTTGTTAGCTTTGTCAAATGATCCATTTACTTAGAGACATATGCTATAGCTAATATATGTTCTTCGATGTAATAATTGGTTTTGATAATGTCAAAATGGGAGAAAATGTTATCATTATCAAATTGAGAATATATGTATGACATACTCTAAATTAGAATAATCTTTTTCGGCATGCATGTATTTAGGGGAAATATGTGATTACATTTCTTTAATATTTTATGCTACTAACCCTTACTTGTCTCAATTTGAGTTTTTGTTGCCATCATCAAAATGGGGAGATTGAATACCTTCTAAGTATTATGAAATGCATATATATTTTGATGATGACAAAGGATTTACAAGAAGTCTAACTTGAAGATGCAGCTTGAAGACACATGGAAGCATAACAACTTAAATAGGTTAGATTTTTATATCACACTTTATTATATCACAAAATGTCATCCTAAGCTCGATTACATTACATGCATTTAGCTCCATGCATTTCATAGTAAAAGTAATAAATAGTTTTTTTATTATCATGGGTTAAAAATACAAAAAGTAAAAACAAATAAACAAATTTTAAAAATAAAATTTAAGTCATTAACAATTAGTTTTAATACAATGAAACAAAAAGTAAATCAATTAAATATATCATGTAACATAAAATCTAAAAGTAGCTTTTTATATTTGAAATGAAAGTGATCACGCAATTAAAGACCATAACACTACGTTTTTCATCATTATTTTATCACGTGGGTTAGTCTTGTAATAATAATAATAAAAAATAAAAACTGAATCATTTATATAAAAATAATTTACTGTCACGTGAAAAGCAGTAGTAGCTTTACCATGTATGAAATGCATCTTTTCAAATTTGAAAAAGGAAATCAATTAGATTTCGGTTTCCAAAAATTTCATGTGGGTTAATTGTCTTGAAAACAAAAGAAAGTAATAAAAAATAATAAAAAGGAACCACCTTTACTTTTTTTCTTACTTCGAATCAATTTGGTTTTTCACGACTAGTACTACTCTTCGTCTTCGTCTTTACACGCTGAGCCCCTTTTTTTTTTCATTAACCATTTGAAAGAAAAAAAAACATTCTCTCTCCTTGTTCTACCCATCAATCAAAAGAAAAAGAAAGAATCGAGTTTGTGCATCTCTTTGAGCAAAAGAAGATATGGTATTTTTTTTAGCGCTAAAATCGTCAATCCTCTTTCATCATTCTTCGTGGTGGCTGCATCATTTTCTTGGAGAAAAATTGCGTTGGAGAAAAATATGGTTCTGTAAGAAAATAGTTTCTTCATCTTGGATTTGCGGTTGATGTTTCATTGGGGCATTTGAAAATTTTCTTGGAAACAAAAATTCAAGAATCCTATCCACACCTCTCCGGTTTGTACACTAAAATTTGGAGTCTCTTATGAAATCAACTCAGATCTGAAGTTTAGGTTTTATTGTGGTATATTCTGAAACTTAAATTCCTTGCATTGATTTATTGATTCAGAGCTTTATTGAGACATATTCAGGTTCCTTGATATTATAATCTTAGGGTTTTTGACACATATTTCATAATCTTGATTATTTGCATATCATATAATTTATGGAGCTTGATTGTGCTTAATATGATATATATAGTGTGATAGGACACTACAATTTTGAATTTTATTTTTGAGAATAATTCTGAATATTGTATTGTGAGTTAAAGTGTTGTGCCTGTGTGTGTGAGAGTTGTCCTAGGTGTGTTGGGTCCAACTAAGAGGGTTGGTGACCTTGTTGCTTGGCTTGAGAGTGTGTCTCAAGGCTTGGAGCCTCAAGAATCCACTAGGGAGTGTGGAGTTCTAGTCTAAGAGGAGTTGGTGAACTCTTAGGTTCAGTTTGAGAGAATTTTTAGAGCTTAAAGCAATGTAGGCACTAGGATACTTTTGGATGTTTTAATTGCTTGTGTGTGAGAAGTGTGTTTGTAGAGCACTGTTTTTAATCAATAAAATATCAACGGGTACTTCAGTCTGGACGTAACATCTCAATGCATTAAGGGGTATGAATCAGGATATATCATGTGCCTTTCTCTCTGACTGATTTAAATTATGATTTTTCTGTATAGAGATTGAAAGTAACATTGTTTCTGGTTTCAAGGTGCTATAATAGTTTTATGTTGATATAATAGTGTTGTAGCGATTATTTGTTGTATTAAAAGTGTTGTAGTAGATTTATTATTCTGATATAAGTACTGTAATATTTAATTGTTTTTCTGATCATTGGATACTAATCATTTTCTGATTTGTATAAGAGAGTTAAGCTGCAAGTACTCTCTGTATAAAAGGCCAGGTATGTTCTCTACTGTTATACATCATATAGAAATTTATAGAGCATATAGGGACATTAAGTAAAATAGTAAAATCGTTATATTGTGTGATTGTTAACTGAATTGGTTTTTGTAAAATAATTTGAGGAAAGTCAATCTAATTGTGTTGTTGTGCTGCTTGAACTGATAACTTCAACTTTGTCTAAACTTCACAAATTTAAAGATGTACTAGCAAATATTTTTTTGAAAAAGTAAAAACACCTATTCACCCCCCCCCCCCCTTAGATATTCCGTAAGTGTTATGTATAAGAAGTAACTTATCCAACAACTGGGTCACTAGCTCAACCGATGGGTCATGGGTAGAGCTGGCAAAATGGGCCCAACCCGGTGGGGCGGGCTGAGTTTTTCAAACTTGCTTCCCGCCAGCCCGCCCGGGCTGATTTTTTTTTTCATTTGTAGTGTAAAATGTCACGGGCTTGGCAGGGCGGGTCAACCCGCTTTTTGACTGGGCGGGGCGGACAGCCTGCTTTGCCACCTCTAGTTATGGGTTGAACCGCATAACCCTGGTTAATATATAAAAACTTATATTTTATACATAGAAAACCATAAAATGTTCAAATACATAAAAATGTTATATTGGAATGCAAACATATATAACTTTTGTAGGTATAAAAATAAGTCATATATGATAACCACATATAATATACAGAAAAATATTTCTGCAGTTACTGAAGATAAGTTATTTGCATTTACTCTCAAAACGATATCGTTTTGGGATTGAAATATTAAAAAATTATAATTATAAACACTATAATAATCCTGAAATAAATTAAAATTATAAAAACACCATGATTTCTGCCCCAAAACGACGTAGTATTGGGCTTATTGCAGATAATTTATCTGCAGTAACTGCAGAAAAAGCGAACCCTATAATATATAAACAAAGAAAAAATAAAATCCAAGTATCAGGTAACCATATATAATTCCTCTACCAAGTATTCTCAACAAACCATATTTAACAATTATAAGGCAATTTTGAGCTGTCAAAATGGGCCAGCTCATCCCATTTGGCCCTAGCTCATGTGGGTTAAGGCCAAAAAGCTCGCAGGGCTAAATGAACCTCAATAATAAAGGTCTGCACGGGCCAAAAGCCCTATTGGTTAGAATCAGCCCGCGGGCCATTCAAAATTATAATTTCATAATTTTTTATCATATTCAATACATTATAAAATATTTTAACAAATAAATATTTAACACTTTCTTAACATATTTTATACAAATTATTAATTTTTTGTAATTTTTTTTAAATAAAATAATATTTGTACACAAATATACAAGTGAAAATGTAAACAAAATTTTAATATAAGTGAAAATTTAGTTACTACTTTTACTAAATTCATTATTAAATGATTCTATCAAATAAAAATTTTCTCACCAGGAGTAATAACATAATATAGCAATTATAGTGAAAAACTAAAAGTAATGTGGAAAAATTATCCTAATACCAATATTGAATTAGGGCTCTTAGCATGCTATATATTTGAAAGTAAAATAATTGATTTTCATTAATTACTACAGGTACAAAAAACTTTTTAGTTATTATTATCCACAAAATTACTAAAGTGCACTGTATACAATGTTTCAATACAAATTTGAATGTATAATATGTTTAGATGTCAATAGAAAATTTTTATTTTTATTGACGCGCAGATGAAAATCTCTGTTAAAACATATCACCGCTGAAAAATTCATTTTTGTTGTAAAATATTATGGATGAACTTTTACATGGTTTATAATACGTGACTATTTGTTTTTCATGACCTTTGATATATTATATAATCATCATACTAATGATGTGTTGAATTATAAAATATATCCAATGAAGTATTGTAAAATATTATGGATGACATTTTACATGAATTATGAATGACATTTCACATGAATTATGAATGACCTTTTACATGGTTCATAACATGTGACTCTTTGTTTTTTCATGACTTCCATGTTTAAAAATGCATCTAAAATATGTCCTTATATAGAATTCTTTGCTCATACTTATTCCTATCTTATGCTTTTTTTTTTTTTTCTACACTTCATTTTCCTTTCTTTTATATTTCACTTTCTCTTATATTCTCCATCAAACTCACAACAATTTTTACTTATATTTATAAATATTTAAATTTATATAATTTTTAGTTTTTTAAATAATAAAAATTTTGATGAAAGAAAAAATTTGGCCCGCGGACCAACCCTAACCCAATCCGTTAGATTATAGGGCTTTGAGGGTTAGGGCTAAAAAAGGTTGTACCACAAAAAGGCTCTAATAGATTAGGATCAAATATAATGCTTTACGAACTCATCCACGGACTTCAACCCATTTTGACACCTCTAAGCATTTACCACATACATCTCTTAATTTACTATTTCGCAAATTACTTCAACTAATATTCTCATTACTCATTGGGCATATATTGTCTAAATCATCAGTTAACAATCACAAAACAAAACAAAAAAATCAACAATCCAACTTAATTTGAGACAGCAAAATAAAACCAGGATGCCGACTCAATAGCTGAAGCTATTCCATTTTATGTAACATTAAAAATGTTTTTGGATCTCAAATAATCCCTTTACCAAAGATTTAAAAAGGCTACCATTCAGTTATTTGGTCAAGCCAACTGCACGACTTTTGAAAAAACATACATCCTGAAATTGAATGTTTTCATATTTAAAAACTAAAGAGAATCACAAACAGGCTCACTTTCTGCTTGGCTCCAAATTCATCTCCTGAAGATTCAGCAACAGATCATCTGAATTCAGGTAAACCTTGTTTGCTGCATTAGATATGGTATGTGCAATCTCTCTTGCTGCTTCTATCTTCCTCAGTGTGATAAAAGCTGGATTGTTGGCGATAGCTTGCCCGATCAATTGGGCACTTTTTGCCTCACCCTGTTGATTAAAGGGGTTTAAGAAAGATCAGGGGGAAGTTAATACTTAAGAAGCATAAGTGGTCTGATATGTAATGCAGATAAATACTGGTCTAATATACAAAATGGCAATAGCAAAAGCAAACTATATATACCACTTCACTTAAAGTCTCACACTAAACTTTACAGGAAGTTTTATGAACAAGGTCACTGGTTATTTGTTACCAAAGAAGAACCCAAACCATGAGCTAGAGAACAAAATGATCATTATTTTTTCCATGAGTTTCCAGGTTGGGTTTTAGAACAAGATCCAGTTAGAACAATGGCAGTATAGTCTAACCCAGCAAATAACACTGTTTCTGTTGTATACGAAACACATTGGAATTTTTTTGCAGAAACTTGTACCAAGCACTCAAGCAGTAACTGTGTCTATGCATTAAGAAATTCTGCTTACCTGTGCCCTAATTACAGCACTTCTCTTGTCTTGCTCAGCTTTTTCCACAACAAATTTAGCCCTCTCAGCTTCTTGCGCAGCCACTTGCTTGGCTTCAATTGCAGCAGTAAACTCCTTGCCAAAGGTCAGACTAGTAATTGACACATCATCAAGGGCAATATTGAAATTAGCTGCCCTCTCAGTCAGAATCTTCCGGATTTCCCTACTAACAGCCTACAAAGACTAAGGTCAGTTAAAACACACTTTCTTTGTTCTAGAATTAATTTTTTCAACTCGACAAATAAAACATTGCATTAAACCACAAGAAATTAGGAGGGATGTGAACAATATTAAAGAACCAATACTACATCCGTAGTTCATATGACAATAAATCATCCTTACAACTTGACTTTGACAACGTAACACAGATTGTGATTTGTGATAGCGGGTAAAGATGAATTAATTTCAGCAGAACATTTTCAAGGACAAATGTTAGAATTGGGCTTCTATTAAGTGTAGAAACAAAAATTATTTAACATTTTGACACCTTCAACTGAAAAAAGACATCTCAACAACAAGCTACCTTGTTCAAATAGTTATTTGAGTTTTCATGCATCAAACAGACAAGCTTTGCTCCTTACCTCTCGCTGAGTGATAAGCTGGCTGGCATTGTACTGGGCAACCACAGCTTTCAAAGTTTCATGTATAATTGAAGGTAAAACTCTTTCATTATAATTCTCTCCAAGGGTCCGATAAATAGTAGGTAAATGACTTGGCAGAGGACGAGTAAGGACTCGAAGCCCAATTTTCACCTGTATAACATGTATATGCAATTAGAAAAAGGTTGAGATTGTGCGTGTTTAAATATTTAAGATACGAAATGTTCGAAATCAGTTTTCCGAAACCAAAACATGTTTTTGACCCAGAAACTATTTAATTAAAACTTCCAACTTTATATCATTCACAGAATTTCAAAGTGCTACATAAGGCATAGAACAACTTAGGAAAGTGGGAGAAAGGACATCATGCAGATTGTGTGGGGAGAAATGGATGCAGAATTACAGATGTCTTCATTTGTTAGGAACAGAAGCTAAACTTGGAAAAGGTTGAGGGTTTTTGATGGAGCATTAGCCATAAGATATTCAGACTTCAAACACCAGATGTCTTATAGCTTCAAAATTTTAGAAATAAATAATTTTAAAACACCACATGGGAGGTGATGGAAATCTGTTTACATCATTTTAGATTTGAAATAGTCTTTAAGGAGCACCGGTGATAAAGTTGTTAAGCTGAAATGAAAATTGAGATGGACGATTGGAATGTATACAGCTAGATGAAAGAGCCAAAATTCCAACAGATTCAATTATGTTATTAACTATTATCATTTGAACTTGAAAATATAAATTTTGACATCGAAAATATACATTTCATCCTATAATTTAGAAATAGAAAAATAGCATTTGTGCAAAAGCTTAATATCAATGGACCTTTTACCATCAGAATGCAATTCTGTTTCACATTCATGGCAATTATGTCAATGGTTTAACAAAAATGAAAAAACCTCCGGATTGAGAATATTAATTTGTTAACTACAGTGTGGTGCAGTAAGAATAACGCATATAACAGAATGACACAGAATGAAGTCCACATAAACATGTCATCAGAAAGAAGAGAAACTAAATGCCTAAACAACCCCTAATAATGGAGAAGTCCTTTTGTAAATCCAGCGGAAAGCAATAAAAATAAAGATAATCAACTTCATTTCTAAGAATAAAATGTGATCAAGATCGGAATTCTCTTTTGGAGGAAGGGGACAGGAGAAGGTTTATACTAAAACCATATCTTAGTGACAACACAGTCTTAGCAAAAATATTTACCATCTGGAGATCATGACTCCCTGTTGTACTCTCAACTAGATGTGGTCGTGCACGGACATCATAGATGACCGGCCTCTCAAACCATGGAATTATAAAGTGTGTCCCTTCAGGATAGACCTGCAAATCAACCAAAGATATCAATTTTAATACCGACAACAGAACAGAAATTAAATTGACAAAATGGAGAAATCAAACCATGACTAAACTTATATCAAAACAAAGGAGAAGCTAAATAGTTCTTTAGAAAGATATCAAACAACAGTCATAGGCAGCATGAGTGTAACAACCATCAGCAGCAGAGTAATGCAGGAATGAGCAAACCATTTTCTTTATTTATTTATTTTTAATGTAAAACAATCAAAAGCCAAAAAATGACCTTGTCCTTGACACCGACTATACGGTTGAAAACAATAGCTCGGTGCCCTCCTTCAACATTGTAGAGACTGTTAGCAGCTGCATACAAGCCAATCCCACCAACAATTCCCAGCTTCAGCAGCGCAGAGGCAGCACCACCACCTGGAACATTTGGAACTTTCACGTTCCTTAGATTCATTTTCGTAACTGAAGAGAAAAATACAAATCAAACGGTCAGCACAGTTCAGCCCCAGCTGATGATGAAATTGCAAAATCAGAAAAGATGCCAACCCTGAAAATGCAAATGGCATAACCTCTGTTACAGATTTAACACGCACACATGTAAAAAAACACAACCAGAAATCAATGAACTCGAAAAAAGAGAGAGAGAGAGAGAGAGAGAGAGAGAAAATAAAAAAGGAACTACCTGAAATTTCTCAGAATCAAATGCAAAAGCCACAGGTTAAGAAGCAAACGAAGACAGAAATCCAGGGGAAAAATGTTAATCGATTATTCCGAAATCTCTGAACAATTTGGATAAAAACAAAAATGAAACACCAAGCTAGTTTGTATTTGAATCCTAGAAGATTTTGCAAGTAAACAAACAGAAAATGAAGGAAATGGAGATGGAAAGAGAAATGGAGAGGAATATAAAAACCTTGGAAATTTCGAATTTCGATCGGTGCCGATGAGAGGAAGGGATTGTGATAGTGGGGTTTATGCAGCTTTTTTGTAGGGTTTAAACTTTTCCTACAAGAAAACCCCAATGGTTTTTAGCCTGTGCGAACAAGAGAGAGAGAGAATTGGGTTGGGCCTTTTGTTCGGTGGATGCTGATAGGCCGACGGCCCATGATAAATTAAATGACATCAGCTAATAATGGCAATGTATAAATTTGTTCTAATCCATTTCATTCTCCTTCTTACTTTGCTTTTTGTTTCCATGAAAATTAGTTGCGTACCAAATGCACTCTTTCTCTAAAAAAAAAAAAAAAAACGTGCCCACATTTGTTTATGGTCAAAGTATACTTATTTTAAAGATGTAAAGTTGTGTCATTTTAAAAGATAGATAAAGGAGGAGAGAGAGTTGACAAAAAAAATAAAAGTGTGAATCTCACTTCTTTGTAAAAAGTGAAAAGATATAAATTGTGTCATTCAAAAGGATAAATATTTTTTTCTTTATTTATGTACCAAATGCTGTTTATGTACCAAATGCACTTTAATTGCTTGATTGCGTTCCCTTTTTGTGGGGGCAAGATTGTTCCAATCCTCTAAAACTCTAGAATCTTCTTATTAAATTAATCAACACCCACTAATAATTATTGTTTTGAATAATAATGAGTTTATTTCTCTTAATCAAGAGTGAAGGTGTATAAGATAAAATTGAACTGAATTGAACCACATCATAATAATTACGTTTTTTTATCAGTTTAAGAATCGAATATTTTCTGAAAATCAGGCCAAGAGTCGAATAACTTTTAATTTGGAATAGAAAATCGAATAAAACTAAACTAATTAAACTGAATCTCGAATCAAACCCAACAGCATTACATATCATAATTAATGTATGTACATATCATATCATTCCACCAAAAGGCATGCGAAGAGAAAAATATTTTTTTAGCTTCACTTGAACTTTAATAATTAATATCTATGCTTAATAAATTTTAAAAAATAATACATACAAATTAAAATTAAAAGACAAAATTAAAGCACAATCCATCTCAATTAGAACTTAATTACAAAGCAATTGAAAGGATATAGACTATCCTTCAAAGTAGTTAAGCTATAGAAATAAAGTTTTAAAAAGGCAAATATTTGAATTTAAAAAAGTTCACTTAAATTCTTACGGCGACCCATCGATATTAATATTTGACCTGCTGAAAAGGTAATAGCTTCGATTTTTGAAAGTCTTAATTTTTAGGAGTGAAAAGATTCAAACTCGAAGTCTGAATAATCGGGCTTTTAGGATTTCAGACTTAAGTTAGGATCTAAAAAAAAATCACTTAGGGAGTTGTTCTGTCTGAGAGACAGAAATGTCCAGCCAGTAGCCATAGAGCCAAGTTCGAACAAAGAAAGAAATAAAAGTATCAAACACTCAAAATATTGAGAAAGAACTCGACCGAGGATCCCGGTATCTGCAGAGCCAACCAACCAGCATTCAAATAGGAGTGATGGCTAGCAAATATAAAGCTGACCAGCCGGCATTTACAGGCCAAGTGAACAGAAACTTGTATCAATGGTTAGATGGTCAATATTTAACTCTATGTTAGCACATTAGTGATTTTTATTCAATATTTTATATCTTGATTTCTTATAATGATATAAGTGCACTAACAATCAATGGGCGAAGTCCACTTACAAGTGTATTATCTCTATAATTTTAGGATGAAGTCTGGATGGTAAGCATGCTCCCCGGAATAAAGATCCTAAAATAATGATACGACAAATCTATTCTGCCTTGAGATGTTCTTGCAAAGAAACAACAACAGGGCCATGGCCCTCAATAATTAAGCAAATTGGCAATATAGCCTAGCGCCAAAGCTTTGGGCACTAAATTCAGAGATCAAATGCATCCTGACTATAGCATCGGGATCCGAGATAAAGAATAAAGACAGATTTGGAGAGATGTGATCTTGGCAAAAAGATCACACCCCAATCTAAAATATAAATATGAAGACGGATTGCAATCCTTACGATAGGATTGCACTTATATCCGAGATAAAGACAAGCCCTCCAAGATAGAAATAGTTGATTAAATAAAGATCTGAGATACAAATCGAAGATAAAATAAAGACAGATATGGCGAGATCCAATCCGAGATAAATATAAATCCGAGATAATGTTGAAAACAGATCCAATCCCAATTCGAGAAAAAAAAATAGTGTATGCATCACGACATCAAGCCCAGTTCGGGGAAAGAGGGAGGATGCTTCTGTAATCCATACCGAAATGAAATTTAAGAAGGCGGATAGAAGTGACACTAATCAAGTCATCATGATGCCTTCAAAATTGAAACTTAGGCAAAAAGCCGAGTTGAATATTATGAAACTGCAGTATACGAAGCCGGGTTAGAAAATAGAAGGGGAATAAAACCACCTTTACTTAAGACTTGCAAGTCAACTTGATAAAGCCACTACAAATGAAGCAGGGCTCAGATACTAGAGCATCGTGGCAAGGTAAGCTGGACTCAGAGAAGTGCATATCCTGAAAATGATTTTGGTTAAAGTCAAATCTGTGAATGTCGCGACTGAGAAGTCGGGCTAGAATAGGAGACAATATCCTCATAAGATTCTGGCGAAACCCAGCCTAAAATCGATGTGACCTGGACATTCGAATCCGGGTCAAAATAAAACAAAGGAACAAATAGATACCTTCGTATATATGGCTCCGCATATAAGCTGATCCCTAATAGCATGACCTTGGCCAGTTTAAAAAATAGAACTTGCAGATAAAAAATCTGGGCAAAGTACATCGAAGGACATAAACACCTTTGGACTATTAGGCGAAAAAGCCGAGTTCAATAAGGCCATGGCCAAAGAAGCTGGGCTCAGATATGAAAGCCATTGCAAAAGAAGCAGGGGCTTAAATAATAAAGTCACCGCAAAAGAAACGGGACTCAAATATTAAAACATCACGGCAATGCGAGTTGGACTCAAAAAGGTGAATTTCGTCAAAATGACTCTGATCAAGTCAAAATCTGTGAAAACCACAATATGTGCAGCTGGGTTGAAACAGAAGGCGATATCACTGTGAGATTCTGGCAAAGCCGAGTTCAAAAAATAAAAGCTACGGTATAAAACTGGGATAATTATAGCAAGGAAGATTTCAACTTTGCAAATAAAAAAGCAAAGAATCGGGAACAAACCCCGACAATATCAAGGAGGCTCAAAGATCCCCAAATCAGCAAAAAAGCCAAATTACAAAAGTAAAGTCGGTATTCCGACATACAAATACTTGGATTAAAGTAATACAGTCCGAAAACCCAGATTTCCAGACTGCCGGACTGAGGGGCAACAGTATAACAACACAGAGGAAAATTGCAATCCTCATAAGTCAATATCTCGACAAGATAGTTAAAAAGATTGGTAAACTAGTCTGAGCTACATACCTCGGCCAAAAAGGTTGAGGGAAAAATATTGGAATAGCATTCCCGGTACAGGCTCATGAATCCCGACACAAATGAAAGAATGAAATAAGAAAGAATAAACCCGGAGCACGGATCAACAAAAATCCATAGATTCAGAACACGAATCAATGGATCAATAAGACCCAGACAAAGAGGTCAAAAGGAAAAACTCTTCCACTCCTAATAGAGACCTCGGTCACGAAAGTTTGTTCAACAAGAATATAGTTCAACAGACTACCAAGTAGGAATACAAAGGAGGATGTCTGAAATAGGAATTCAACACAACAAGATGGTTGAAGCCATACGTCACAGAACAAAGGCTAACAAGGCTCAGACCACGAATATGGCTGACTTCCAGACAATGAGAATAATAAAATATTCATAAATGCGATCAAAAGCAATGCACATCGGCCCAACTATACTTATCAGATAGAACAAAATCTCAAAATAATATGCACCCGGGCAGCCTGGACACCCAGACTGCCAGGCTGGGGGGCAACTGTTATGAACCTGACAAAGGCCCATATTCTAGAAGATACAAATAGGGCTAATGGCTAAGAGAGAATTAAGAAAATGTTCCTTAATTATACTAATCCTACTACAGCAACAATGGATCAATAATTGGACCCACAATACTCTTAAGAGTCCCAAAAATCTACTCTTTTCAAGTAACTCATCTATAAATAAGGTTAAGCCAATAAGGTACACACATTATAAACCATCTCTTTCTAATTTTGCTGGGACCCACCATATATTTGGTGAAAGGAATTTTGAAGCAGCTAATTAAATATCTTGTTAGGACCACCAAGTATTTAATGTCGAACTTGAAATTTAGGCTAACATATTTGTTAAATAATATGCATGGGAAATTTGCTTGCTGGAAAGTGTTTGACTTCCGCGATGGTATATTTGCCAGTCAAAATGATTAGGCTACTTTTTATAAAAGACGCAAGCACTCAATGTTCCATTAAATAATAATAATAATAAAAAAAATCACGGTATGAAAAATAAAATTAAGGAATTATTTCCTTATCTGAGTGGATCTCCTTTCTTTTCTGAGTGGATCTCTTGTCCTTTCCTTATTTGAGCCATATCACGAAGAAGGAAATAAATCAAATTAAAGTATGAAATCAAATTAAGGAATTATTTTCTTATCTGAGTGGATCTCCTTCCTTTTATGAGTGGATCTCCTGTTTTTTCCTTATTTGCTTTTGGTACTTTGATGATCCACATGTGACCCATCACGATCACGGTGGCCGTCTCAATCACGGTCATGATCTCGATCCAGTACCAATCTCGATTTCTATCATGATCACTTATCTCGATTTCGTCATGCTTGTTGAAGCAGTTGCGAACTCCGGTCAGCCTTGAATGATTGCTGACATTGGATGTTATGGCGGCTACTGCGCTTTCACCATAATTGGGTGGGAGTCGAAGTTT